GTACGATCCCCCGCTCTCACCGCCTGCGATGATAATCTTTTGCCCTGATCCCCCACTCCCACCGCCTGATCCCCCTCCAACACCACAACCGTACGATCCCCCGCTCTCACCGCCTGCGATGATAATCTTTTGCCCTGATCCCCCACTCCCACCGCCTGATCCCCCTCCAACACCACAGCCGTACGATCCTCCACTCCCACCGCCTGATCCCCCTCCAACACCGCAGCCGTACGATCCCCCGCTGCTACCGCTTGAGCTTCCACTGCTACCCCCGGCAATTATAATCTTCTGGCAGGACTCCCCGGAGCCGCAGTAGGACGAGCCCCCTCCAACGCCGTAGCTGGACGAGCCCAGAATGTGCGGGCCCAGCAAAGCTCCGCTGCCGCTGCCCGAGGATCCCCCACCACCGGCGTGGCATCCTCCAGCCTGAGTTGGGATCTCATGGCAGGCCTTTTTCTCTTGATGCGAACACATCTTCCGGCAGGCTAGGGAACCCTGAAAGGAACAGAAGCTCTCAGGGTTTGCAAAAGCAGGAGATGCTGGCTTTTATTGTCCTGTGCTATTGGACAGTCGCATTTTCTTTAATGGTGCTCACCCTGTGGGCCGTGCACTTGTCAGAGGAACACCAGCTGCTAGCCGGGTGAGTGCACTGATGGGGATTTCCCCCAGCTGGGCCTCTCTAGAGGCCAGATAGGAATGCACATATTGTAGTTTGGGTTGCCACTCAGATGGACCAGTTGCAAGTGGCTGAATGGACAGTCCTGTTGCAAACAGAGTTCGCGCTGCCTGTAGAGCGGTTGGCAGGTATGGAAAAAAAAGTCACTGAAAACTTGTGAACCTCATTTTCCCATTGTGGATTCACAGCATCTTCAGCTGTTCTTAAGCCATGGGGGCTTTGAGACCAAAGGCCGCAATAGAGTTGAGTTTTGCCAATTGCTCTAAGTATGACAACGGAAGAGGCCACCTTGCATTCCAACACTGCACATAAAATGACAGAATTTAAATTAAGGGCAAAGGAACATGGGGTGCAAGAGGAAAGTGACTGTCTGGGTTTAAAAGCAAACAGATTGAAGTCGAGTAGCATTTTTAAGGTTAATGCAGTTTTCTTTTTTGGTGAAATTTGTGGAGGAAAATTTCGACTTTTCATCAAGAACTAAAAATATTCAGTTTTTGGCTGAAATGTTTTGGTCTGCAGGTTTTTGACGAAAAGTTGAAATTTTCCACTGGGGAAAAAACAAAAATTCTGATCAGTTCTGGTAGAAAAATTGTCAGAGACACAAGAGCATATTTTATGTCATTGGCCAAATGGGACAGTCTCTACGCAAAAGAATAAATGGACACAAATCTGACATCAGGAATCATAACATTCAAAAACCAGTAGGAGAACACTTCAACCTCTCTGGCCACTCAGTAACAGACCTAAAGGTGGCAATTTTGCAAAAGAAAAGCTTCAAAAACAGACTCCAACAAGAAACGGCTGAACTTGAATTAATATGCAAATTAGACACTATCAATTTAGGCTTGAATGGAGACTGGGAATGGCTGAGCCATTACAAACATTGAATCTATTTCCCCATGTTAAGTATTCTCACACCTCTTGTCAAACTGTCTGTAATGGGCCATCTTGATTATCACTACAAAAGTTTTTTCTCTTAATTAATTAGCCTCTTACAATTGGTAGGACAACTCCCACCTTTTCATGTGCTCTGTATGTATATATGTCTCCTCCCTATATGTTCCATTCTATGCATCCCATGAAGTGGGCTGTAGCCCACGAAAGTTTATGCTCTAATAAATGTTTTAGTCTCTAAGGTGCGACAAGTACTCCTGTTCTTTTGGCTTTAAAGAACTGTTTTGAAAATATGTCGACATTATGGAATCAATGGTATAATTTTTTTGGTTCTCGAACAAAGCAGTTTACTTTCCTAGGTCCAGAACTGGGCACCGGGCAGATAATACGCAATCCTTGCTATTATTGTTAGCAAAAAGCTAATATTGTTATTGTGGTTTTTATTATTATTATTCATTGGGATTGTGCTAGTGGGACAACTGTCAAATGCAGCTAGGATCTTGAGCTTCCTTTGCAAAGTGCTTTGAGATCTAGGGATCAAAATTACTCTGCAAAAGCTAATTTATTATTATTATTCTTATGTTGCAGTAGCATCAAAAATGTGTTAGCAATTTGCAGACATGCTCACGCCTGCAAAGAGTGCCCCGGCTAAAAGCAGCGGTCCCATTATTGATCCATCTGCATTTCTAGAGTGCTAAAACATGCAGCATCTACTATCCTACTACCCATCTGGAGTCTCTTCCCACTTTGTCCCCGGCACATTTAAGAAATTCTGCATTGCATCAGAGCAATGGACCACCCGGACCCTGAGAGTTTAGTATTGAAAGAGAATTGTCCAGAACAGACTCAGTATGGATTTTTTGCAGCTCATACTCCAAAATCGAGGAAAGAAGTTATCATCCATTAATAAGTAGGAAAAAAAATCTTCAGTATAAACGGACTTACCTTGTTCAGCAACTGGAAACAAATGCTAAGAAGCGAAGTCAAGTGAATGAGGAGCTGTGGAACGTAAGAACTTTTATACTATAACCTGGCTTCTCCAAAGGGAAGTGAGACACCCCCAGGAATGGTGATGGGTTTATTTACCAACCAAACCCTGCTCTATCTACCCACCTGTTTGACACTGAATGTTTGACTCGTCATTTCAGATCAATATCTCTCCTCTGCATCACCTGTTATGTTCTGCTGCAAATATACTTAATTGCTTGTCCTACTTAATAGCTCAATTACTTAATTTGTGCTTGGAACTGGGGGAATCCTTCGAGGGCTGAGGTGAGGGGGCCAACAGCAACCCCTTTCCCCACTGTCTGCAAAATGGCAGATGAACTGATCTGCAGAAGCCAACCCTGGGTCTCCAGGACCATCTATGTAGCTGCCCTTTCAGCTTACCAGTACCTTTGTTCCAGCCACTCGAAGTCCTGGACCGGGACATGACTCCCCAAAGCCATATTTTGTGGACAGTTGAAAATGGGAGCAGGCACATTGTGAGTCCCACGCAAATGACATAAGGGCATTCTCAAAGCTCACGGAAAAGCTGGCCAAGTTGATCTGAAGTCAAGCTGCCAACAAATCAGGATGGCAGCAGAGCAGAAAAAAGCCAAAGAGAAGCGTGAGCGAAGAAAACTGGAAGAGGCCATGTCTGCCCGGCGTGCGCACACATCTGCGGATCCCTGGTCACTTCACATTTGCACAGGAAGACGCCCTGAAAGAAACCGACTCTCCTCCGTTGACTACGATGGGAGACTCCAACCCAAAATAACCTTCATTCCAGCCACCAGCCCCTTGTCCCAAAATCTGTATTGCACAGCCCACCAGACTTGGATTCTCAGCGGGAACAGTGGGCCACGGGGCGCTGGCCAGGCCCGGCCACTGCATGTTTTCCCCATATGTAGCCTGCCTCCCCCATCACTGAATGGAACCATGATGGTGCTGTAGCCAGCAACACCCTCCATTCCGAAGGACGACATGGCAGGAGATCCCCACCCATCCTGGCAGCTGCTCGGCCCAGGGCTGCTGTAGGTGGTTCAGCACCATCCCTTTGAGCAGCTTGTCCTGCTAGGGTCAGGGCTCCCCGCACACTCCTGAAAAGCAACGGATGGGAAAGCCCCTCCACACATGTCCAGAGACCCTGTCTTCAGGAAAAGTAGGGCCCGGAGCTGGGGAAGCTAGAGGTGCTGGTGGGAGCCACGCTGGGCCGGACTGGATTTTGTTGTTTTGCAGGAAATTCCGCAATTTGGACATTTTTTTTTCTGTTCTGAAATGGAACCACACCAGAGAAGGTCAAAATTTTGCACAAAACAAAATTCCGTCTTAAGTTCTTCTAAGGCCTCCATGACTGTGATCATGGGGCCATCTGGCCATCTCATGATTGTTAATATATTTATCCTCACAGCACCCCTGTGAAAGAGACAAGTCTTATGATCCCCATTTTACAGTGGAGAAACTGAGGCATAGAGCGGCTAAGTGACTTGCTTGAGGACCCTCATGACCTAGGTTAGTGCTTTAACCACTGGACCATCCTCCCTCTCTGCCACAGTCCTTCCTGCCCCGTTGTCCCACCGCTGTTTTTCACCCCTACCAGGCAGGGACAACAGGGTAGCAATATCTCCAGTTGGATCATCTGGGTGAGTTCCACTAATGAGATAATATTGACCGAGGGAGCCCTGTCAGTAGGAGTGTTGCCACGATAACTGGGATCAAATTTGTAGGATTCAGAGACTCTTCCTAAAATATAAGTGGAATAAAAGGAAAAGAGGTGGAGGAGCATGCTGGGATAGGCTGCCTGGGCTCCAGTGCCCCATTAATTAGCCTGTGCTCCCAGTTGTTTATATCTGTGTTTCCATCTGGCTGTGGGAAGCAGGCCAAGTTCTTTTCCAGTCTGGTTTGCATGTAGGTGGCTAAAAGATACGGCTGTACTGTACTCTACTGTGTCTGTGTTTTTAAAGGGTGGTGGTCACCTATTAGCACGTCTGGAATGTTACACGCCTGTGGTTTTGTTGCCATGGTGGCAGCACTCCAAGGTCGAGTGATAAATATCATGATCCGGATGATCCTCCTCCCTGACAAGCGCGGTGGTCTAGTCAAGGTGCCCCAGGATGCCACAGATCGGGGCTGTGCTCGGAGCAGAACCTGGAGGCTGTGTCGGGGAGGAAGGGGCTCTCGGCCATCTGTCTGCTCCCTTGACCCTACAGCCAAACAGGGGCTGGTTTGAACCATTGTGGACTTTAGGCCAGCCCAGCCCACCAGGGTGACCCACACCTTGTGTGTTGCTCTGATGAGAGTGGGCCACAAAATGGTTTTCTTTTCAGTGAGAAATTCTGACAGATATGAAAGCTTTTTTTTTGTTTTTGTTTACGTTTTCAGAAGAATTTTTTTGACTTTTCATCATGAAAAAACCCATAAACTTGAACCGCCCCTCCCCCCGCCACAATTTTTTTGACTTGCGGCAACTGAAAACCAAAATTTCGGGCCAAAAATTTCTGAGAAGTGAAAAATGTTCAGTGAGAAATGTTGAGGAAAGAAAAATTCTCCAATTGACTATTACAAAAAGTGTAGATGGCAAATTTCTGACGAAGACGAGTTCTGACCATGTTCCGTACCACCTTGGCCTGGCCCCCTGATCTGTGAGCGGCATAGAGACGGTTATGCCAGGGTGACTTCATTAATCATCTCTGCAATGACCAGGGAATGTACTACGGCCCTGGATCGGTTTATCATTGGGAGATGAGGACATTTCTGAAGCCATTAAGAAATACTATGTAAGGCAACAGATTAAAGCATAGATATGGTTGTCCCTGGGAAATAGATCTTTTATGTGTGTTCTAACACACACACATACACATCTATCTATCTATCTATCTATCTATCTATCTATCTATCTATCTATCTATCTATCTATCTATCTATC